TTCCTCTCTCAATCACAGGCGTTGGAGCGCGATTTAGACGGAGAAGATCTCGGCATGCTGCCTGACCTGGTGCGACGCATGCTGTACACCCTGACTTTGGACAAAAATATCGAGTAAGTGAAAGCCATTCGCTCACGTGTACCTCGACAGGCGCTAATCCCGCCCCATTCTTGCACTTGCTCGCTAGCACAAAAAACTGGGAGCATTACCTCCGCATGCAATACCTCGCGCGGTCGCCCGGCAATAACCCACTGGGCAGCATGGAGCTATCGAGGCCCTGGGCTGCGATGGGACTCACACAAAAGGTCAAAGCGCTCTGGTCGCTGTGCGAGTGGCAATTGGTGGATTCAGAAAGGTTTCGCAAGCTGGTCAAGAGCGAAGAGGAGCCAGAAGTTTGGGTACGTGATGTTGACGGGCTGCAGGGTTCCATCACCCACTGGCTGCCGACTGACATGCACACCTTACATAGCGTATCGAACCTGTGGGCTGGGACAGCCAGGACAACACTTACTGGCTCTTTGATGGTGAGTGTATGCGTCAGAGCTTGTGGCAAGTCGCGCCGAGTCAAGCTAAAGCGCTTCGCTCGCAGACAACCGGCTTTGGGTTCAACATACCGAGCCTCCACCCCCGCCAAAGCCCAAAGCACTGCCTCCCGCCAAGAAGGGCTCAAAGCGAGCGCGCGCAGAAGCTCGGGCATCGCGCAAGTCTACCGCCGACAAAGCGACAGGCAGCCCCTCTCGACCCGCATCTACTGCGACTGGCGCGAAGAGAGGTAGGCTCAGTGATGTAGCATCTGCGACGCCGGCCAAAAGAGCTCGCGCCAGTGAATCGGCCACGCCGGCCAGGCCTGCTAGCGCACGCAGCTCCAGACGGCTCAGAGGTGCTCCGGGAGAGGGAGAAGGCGTATGGGAGGCAGTGCCGAGCGACATTCTCAAACCAAGCCGAAGAGCAAGAAATGGACGTGGGTCAAACGCATATGCTCCAGCGGGCTCGTCGTCCGAATCGGACCTTTCAGAGCCGCCCGACGAGGACTTGAATGGCAGCCCGTCTAGTCTCGTTGTTGCCCAGGAGGAAGTCGACACGGCTCACGCGACTGCGAACGAGGACGTTGAAATGGCAGATACCTCAACCACCGAGCATCCGACTAATGATTCGCAGCTTGAAGCTCCTAATGGCCATGTCTCCGAGAAAGGCGACGTACCTGTGGGTCACGCCTCCGTCGACAACGCGCAAGACTCTGTCCCACAGACTCGGGGCAAAACAGACGCCCACAGTGAAGTGCTGGATGAAAAGCAAAACGGTACTTCATCGAAGTCACAAGACTCAAACGTTGCATTTTCTGCTCATGTGGAGGAGGAAGATGGCTGGATCGAGTTCGAGACAGTGAGTGTTCCCTGACGCGCAACAGTAATAGTGAAGTCGCTGAGGACCTTGCTTCTCCTTGCTTCAAGGTCGCTGTCACTCGTCTGGAATGGGAAGCTATCGCAGTGCGCTTCGCTAAATCGAAGCACCCTGATGAGAAGGCCTTTCACTCTTACCTGCAAGAATCCGTCATACCGCGGGTCATGGCAGACTTTGACGCTGTGGAAAAACAGCGAGCTGTAGAGGCTGCTCTGGCTAGCAGGAAGCGAAGCAGTCGTATCGCGATGAAGGAATCAGAACGCGAAGAGCGCGAAAGAGACCGAGCTGCGAGACTGGAGATGGAGGAGCGGATGGCTAGATTACGAGCTGAGGACAAAGAGAGGAGGGACCGCGACCGGGAGGCAAATGAGGTGCTCAAGGCCAGAGAAGAACGAGCCAAGGAGCGCGAAGAGCGCATAAATGCAAGGGAAAGGGAAGCCGAAGAAAGGGCGATCAAAGAGATCGAGGCTCGAGAGGCAAGAGAGCGGATGCGAGAAGATCGAGCCCGCAAGAGAGAAGAGATCATTGCGAATGGAGGCATCCCACCCAAGCACGACGATCCGCGAGCGGTCGCTGCCTCAGCTGTTGAGCATGGCATTGAGCCAACGGAAGACGAGAGTTGGGAGCTGGCTTGTGAGGTGTGTGGTAAAGCGGGTGTCAATCTGGACGACTCATCCGAGATTGTCTGCTGCGAATCGTGCGGCGTCTGTGAGTTGCACTGTATTTGCAGGCGCAGGCGTGAGAGGGGACTTACGACCCTTTGTGCTAAATCTGCAGGGCAACATACAGACTGTTGGAATGCCTTTGATAGATCTGTGCGAAGGCCAGCGCGCGACTGGGATCAGATCGACTTCTATTGCTCAAAGTGCAAGCCTCCTCATCCTGACGAACCTTGGCCGGGACGGTCGAAGCCGAAGAAGCCAGAATCACCGCGACCCCGTATCAAAGTCAAGCAGCTCGGACCGGATCCTTCGCACTC